TGATCCTACATGTGTATATCCGTTAGTTCGTTCGTGTGTGTCCCCACGTTGTAACTTTAGAGCCAGCGAACAACTTCCATGAAAGTTTGTATGATGATCATGCAGTTAAGACGCGTCTCATCGTATTACTTAATTCGCACCAATTAGTAACGCCAACATCGTGACCATTCGAACTTATGAGGCGGGGTGAGAATAGCAACATTTTACGAAGGGAACAAACCTTTTGAAAAATATTATTATTATTATTATTTATTTACTGCAATTGGGTTTGCACCCGGTGGCAGTGGTCCTTACACTACTCTTTGCATCCCATCACTTTTTGTGTAAATCCATCGTCTGTAACCAATGGACAGCTGATGTCTGACATGTGTGAATTGTTATGAAGATAGATCATGAATTCAGCCACATATTTTGTGCAAAGATTTTGTTGTATGCTCTAATTTAGAAACGTGGTAAAAGTGTGATTTTCAGATATTGTACCTGACTACCATCATGCTGTTACAAATAATGCACAGAACAGCTATCTGTGTAATTATTCATTTAGAATTTATGATAGCATATTGAACCATTTAAATCAAAGTAGTCTCCTCAAGCACTTTTTGGAACTTTCTGTGTAATGTTAATTTTATTCAGAAGATCCTTTATGAGTAGATTTTATTAATTCTGTCTTTTCTTATTGAGTAACGTTCAAAAGTTTGGAACGTGGTAATAGACCGTGGACGCACTGTAGCAGTCTTTTATTTTAGTCGGAGAATCTCGATATCCTGCAGCACTACACATATTGTGTAGCAAGTGTTTGTGTAAATATTTGGCTCATCAGTTCGGAATGTGCAGATATCAGATTCGTAAGAGGAAAATCGATGTCACTCTGTGGCTTCGTAGCCGGTGTCTGTCACATTTCCAATACGAAATCTTCCTGCTTCTAGAAGCTTCTCTGAGCATCTACAACGTGAGATGGCTACAAATATGAACGCCAGGGTTGTGACGGCTTAGCAGGCGACGAAGATTTGTGGCCAGTAGGAAGAATACGAGAGTGTTGAAGCTCTGATTGTGCCAGTAATTGGACGGCAGTCGTCACGTTTTCGTGTTCATGTGCACTAAAGTTATGGAAGTGCAGATTGTGTCAGTCTGTCCTTCTGTCCTTATCGTTTAGTACTGAATATACGAAACGGGATTTAATGAAATTTGGTATTGGGAGTTGCAGGCTAAAGCTTCTGACAAGTATAAAATTTAATGTCCGCTCATTGTAATCAATACTCTTATGAAGTAGAAACTGATTCATTTTTCGTTTTCTTTTGAAAATTTGCTCATTATATAAGGAAATCGAGAATGATATTAGGTTATGCAGACTGTTCAGACTTCAGATTCTCACAGCAGTGAGTATAAAAATGTTTTTTTTTTTTACATATTTAAGCAACCTTACGCATTTTATTCAAATCTGTAGATCCATTCGTTGATACTTAAAAAAACAACAACAAATTTTTGGGTCACCGGTACCTCCTGACGCAATTTCGATTTGCTGGCCACATTTGAAAGTATGTTTAAATACCGCGAATAAGTATCAGCCGTCTTCCTCTCCGATAGGATCACTCCTCAAACACTTGCCGACACGCACGAGCGACAGATGATGACTGAGTGACCGACCGCAAGCAGTCATCCCTTCGCATACAGAACAGACTTAACGTACTCTAAGCTATACAGCCGGATTAGCATTTGAAGGATAGCGGAGGCTGCAGCTCTGTGTTGATTGACAGTATGTACGAGGCGAGTTTAATATCCATGATAATTTTGTTTAATTTCACAGTTAGATTCTTATTAATGATATAGAAATATTTACTTTAGGGACATATTCCAGAGATAAATTTGTTAAAAATTTGAAAATCAAATTTTCTTGTGTATATACACTCTTTGGAAAATTATAAATAAACAATTTTTTAATATTGTGAATAATATGGCAGTTATAATGTAACCGCTCTGGGTCCATGGTTAGAAATGAAACAGTGTTCTTGTACGGCGTCGCAGATTGGCGAAACACAAGATTTTGCTAGATACAAAATGTTTACTGAATATTATATAATATAAGATGCTCTTGACATGAGGCACAGTGGATACAGATTATAAATATATATAAAAATTCTGGCCGGAATTCCTGAAGGGAAGAGACCGCTTCGAATGCTTAGTCGCAGATGAGCGGGCAATGTTAATATCAATGTTATAGGAACAGGGTTGAATCCACTGGATTAATCCGCCCCAGGTTAGAACTCGTCATAAACGGGATTACCATTTCATTCGGACACGAAGTTATGTAGCCTTGGTGCTCTGCCTTTGAAATTCATCGAGTGGGTAAGAGAGAAGTCTATTTTGTCCCGATTCTTGTGGAACAGGAAATTAACACCTGTTAATTTAATTCTGAACGTAAACTGAACCAGGCTTGAACGATACGACCACTGCGAACTCAGATCCAGAATTAATTAAACCTAATGGAGAAAAGGGGCGAATGCACTGGTGAATTTAAAGACAGGGAAACAATTGAGAACCTAAGAATTGTTAAAGACTAACCTAAATCGAATCAATAAATCTATTTAGCTTTTGTTCACCTTAGCTGCCACACCGTATGACTCAGAATATATTATTTAATTCGTCAGGCTTTCAGCAGCCTACACAATTAGTGTGCATGGTTGCATTGTTTGTAGTTTCATGGATTTTTTAAATAGCATAATGGGTGTTATACACTGGACGAATCAGAAATAAAATAAAAATTGCCACGAAAATTTAAACTTACATTGTACTGGATTGCGAAGCCGTGTAGACACGTATAACTTACATTCTTCTGGATTGCGAAGCCGTGTAGACACGTACGTAGATTCCCTTAAAAGAAACTACCGTCTCTATTTTCATGGTCGAACTATCAAGATGACATAAACGTCCAAAAAAATCGATATGTTCAGCGTCATAACCTCAAATCTAACACATTTTAGAGTGGACACCCACTGTCAAATAAAGTCTAAGTATGTTCAGTAATTTAGAAGATGAAACAATCGAACAGGCGATGTTCCAATTATGCCTCATGTTATGCTTTTTGACCAATCACGGAGATAAAGTATTTTTGATTTGAGTGATATCTCGTATCGTAGGCATATAAATTACGCGCCTCTACGTATTAACCAGCTTAGATGCGAATATACCTAGTAGACTTGTCTTATCGATTCTGAATTTTTACTGTAAGCGAAACAGTTGGCTGACATTATGATGCGTCCTTATATGATAACATTTCCACATTTTCGTTTCATCGTGACTACTGAATCTGGACCTTATACAGCCGTGGCAATTAAAATAGCGTGTTTATGTAACATAAATATGAATCAAGTCATAGGCCCGTAACTTACACGGGAAAAGAATATTTTTTTTCTTCTTTTGAAAGCGAAAAGCTAGAGCCGTTGCTCATATTATAAAATATAATTAGTAATCGCACATATTCATTAAAAATCTGTTGCTTATAAAGAAAATCAGTTATGTTTTTAGGAGAAGCAATGGTTAAAGATGACAATTTGTTAATTTTAACAATCGATTAATAAATAGGGCGACGTGCTCAATTTAATAAGGATGATGGAAGATTCTGGTAACGGCGTTATATGTATGTAACGGAGTCAAAGAACAGGGAGTAATTGGAAGGTAAATTTATAAGCTGTGACGTATATTTGGTAAAGAGTCTATTAGTCTTAATGAAATTAGGATAATTAAAAGACAATACGGCAAATTGTAGCCTGTTTTATATGAAATTTTGAATGAAAAGAGATCTAAACGTTTCGAGAAACAATGCATCATTACTTATAATTAAAATCTACCAAACTTCTTTTCTGCCAGAAGACACGGCTGCACTGTAAACGTAAGGAGAAAAATTGTATTTAAGTCGCAGTGAAATTGCGATATTTTGCAATTTTGTGTGAGTCATTGTTCTTTATATTAATTTATTTTCCATAGAATTCTATTGTTTGGCTATTAACATGAATATACGGCACAATTATACATTATATTTCCATAAATGTTAACCACACTGAATGTTTCAAATAGAAGACCTAGATATTAACGAGATCTATCATCAGTTTCGTATAAATACTTGGGAGCTTTAATATAACTTCACTATGCATAGTCTTCCTTACGAGCTGATAGTAGTTTAGCTGGTCAAGGAACTCTCCAACTTCTATGGAAGCTGAATGATTATTACCGTCTAGGAAAATTCTGTTGAGTCGGATGAATGTAAACTACACCATCACACGTTATTTATTTCAGGTAATTTGAAGGATATTTCCACCTAGAATAATTTTACCTAGAAATCTTTACATGTGTTGGACCGTCTTAAGGCTGTACTGCTGATCGATCTCTTTGCCTGTTTCCTGCACCTCGCAGTGGGGCACTCCCATTAACTGCTTTGAATTAAACTCGCTGCCACATCTATTTGAACAACACACTCTGCTCCTTCGGGACGCTGCGCGTCATAACTGGTCCGTCCTCCCGTCCTGGCTTCTTAATGAACCGAGCGTTTCCACAAGTAATAAAGGAATTGCATGAGATCTGCTGCATTTGGTCTGTTTGTTTAAATGCCATGTGTACTGCATTTTCTTACTCCGGTCTGTTTCCCAGATTCATTACGGCACTTGAAATATGAGTACTCTCTTTTATGTCGTATTTGCTTAATTTCCTCAGCTTACTTCACAACGCAAATAGAAAGGGCGTTGTTAATACCAGTCGAATCCCTCCTTTGCTCCATTTAAAAATTAAAAGTTGCAGCTAACTACTAAATCACTATCTGATTTAATGATGCAGATGACTTCCTCCAGTGACTGGTAGTTAGTTATTAGTCAGTGCTCATTCTTTGCTTTTAAAGAAACGAGATTCATGTTCCTGTTTATGAATCCTCCCCATTAGACCTATTCTAAAATTCTCTAATCCAGTTCAATTCATGAACAGTTGACACCCATTTTAATATTGTTTTTCCTTATATGCTACGTGGATTCTTTATTTTAGGCTCCAATGAAAATTGTGTGCGTCATTTATGTTGGTATTACTGATGGCAGAACATTAATAAAAATACAGGGATACTTGTAGCAAATTTTGACACACCATAAATTTATTCAAAAGTCAGGAATTCTGAGCAGACGCAGGTAATTGGTAAGAATGGTTATTTCTTCACATAAAATGAATGCGATTAAAGCAAAGAGGCTCATCGTGGACAGCCAAAGAGTGAAATATCCGCCAGTAAATGACAATTATTAAATAATTAAATGGGATAAACTCCTGAAACCTTGTGTATGCTGAAATTATTTTTAAATAATGTTATTATATGGCCCTATATTGTGATGATGTAACTGCCAGAATATTGGCGAATAACAATTTAACTGTTATTGTAAATAAGCAAAATGATTCACAATAAAGTAAGTCGAATTTTACATGCGATATATCGTTACTAGCTTAAAAAAAACTTTAAATAAATCTCAGACAATTAGCAACGACGGACTTAATTACAGTGTAATGAATCAGCCATTGTCACAAATGCTTTGGGGATTAACTGGGCTTTTGTTTTCTAATTTGGCCCGGGGCCAGTACTGGGTTGGTAGCAGCATTCTAATTTATCCGTTGATGCGAACAGCACTGCTTTGGGGTCAAAATTAGATGGACGGCAGCAAATTCCCCTCTTGCTGGAGTGGTTAATGTTATTTATGACATTCGCAGTTTAACGTTACTGCAGAATAAGAAATGTGCTTATCCCCTCAGTCTTTTCCTCGAGCTAGATAAAGGAACAATATGGAGAATTATCATGACGACGTGGGAAAATCAACTGCATTAAATTAATTTATAATGGGAGGTTGCCTGCCTGTATATTTCTCTTCAATACCATTAAAATTATTTCGTCTAAATTGTCTACTGGAGGGATCTATACAGAAGTTCGTATGTGAAATTTAATTTATATTCACGCAGACCAATTAAAACTTCTGGTGCAAAAGAAAGCAAGTTGAACCCATATCAGGTTTCTTAAAAATCTGCTTTACCCGATAGAAGTGTAACATTAATTATGTTCCACCTACAACGAATAGTAAAGTGGCGAGAAACGGAACTAGCTAACTCTACCATTGTACGTATTTATTAATTAGACACTGACGTCAGAGATCCACTGGCCTTTTAAATTTACTAATATCGTAGCATTGAATCCGTTAGTGTATCTGCCGTAATTGAACGTCAGTATAAATGGGTTAGAAGAAATAGTAAAAGATCCTTAAAATGCATTTCCTTTCCAGACATTTTGAAACGAAACAAAAATTTGGCGTTCTGAACATGTATTTAGAGTACCGTTATCTTGCTTCGAGTATCAAGATGTATTTTGGACTTACAGTATGAGCGCACAAAACATTTAGTGTGGTTTTTGTAACTTTATTACTTCTGCTGTTTGATACCAACATTCTAGTGCAAAACGTTGTATCCATTAAAATATAAAAATTACATAGGTCGAATCTTGTTATAATTTTTCAATTCTCCAACGCAGGCTCGTAACACACAAAGTTCAGTTCATGTAGTATAAGGACACACGAGTTTTCATACAAATTATGAAGTGAAATACAGTTTTATTATCAGATTATAAATAGATCCATTAGCTAACATAATCTGTAATACACTGATAGATATATAGCAATACCAATGGTCTTTTCATAAGTATCCGTACGTGGTTCCATATCTCCCTGCAGTTTTGTGTGAAAGTGATTAATCGGCTTACACGGAAAGCAAGGACTGACAGTCTCCTGTATTTATCAGTTAACTGGATGTACCCCCCAGTGTCAGCAAACTGCAAACTTTGCTGGAGTCTACAGAATTTGAATCACTTGGTGCGTCATAAAATCATACCAATGGCGTGAACTTGCAGAGTTGACCTACGACCTCGTATTTACTGTTGTGCACAAAAACGTCTGGAATTTATAGCTAAATTAATTGAAAAAAGGAGGAAGAGATGTATATTTTTTTAATTACACCCGTTCCCCACGGAACCCAGCAACATCTGCTGGATAAAACATTAATAAACAGAAAAGAAACTGAGTGCACAACTCATATAGGACTATAGAAGTAAAAGTATTATATATTTGGTGCTATGTAAAAATTCCTTGTCAGTCTGAATTGTAAGATAGTGTAATTGCGTCATATTGTGAATATTCTAACAATTATTTATTTTAATCCGTCTTATCACAATATTTAAAATTTCTTATAATTAAGATAATAAAATATCATTGTACCATGTACAAATGTCTTGATCGCAAAAACAACTTTCCGAACAGATACTGAAATAAATGAACATCTTTATTCTGATAAGGTCTTTGTACTGAAAGTTAGGACCTACAAAACGGCCCAAATTTGTGACCATGTAAAAGTAAAGCCAATAGGAAATGAGTGTGATACTTTCATTACCAATTAAGTCACATGTTCATATTTTGACAGACTCTTACCTGTAGATCTTGCCAGCCCCGTTTACCCCATCCGCCCTGAAGATCTTGCCAGCCCCGTTTGCCCCATCCGCCCTGAAGATCTTGCCAGCCCCGTTTGCCCCATCCGCCCTGAAGATCTTGCCAGCCCCGTTTGCCCCATCCGCCCTGAAGATCTTGCCAGCCCCGTTTGCCCCATCCGCCCTGAAGATCTTGCCAGCCCCGTTTGCCCCATCCGCCCTGAAGATCTTGCCAGCCCCGTTTGCCCCATCCGCCCTGAAGATCTTGCCAGCCCCGTTTGCCCCATCCGCCCTGAAGATCTTGCCAGCCCCGTTTGCCCCATCCGCCCTGAAGATCTTGCCAGCCCCGTTTGCCCCATCCGCCTTGAAGATCCTGCCAGCCCCGTTTGCCCCATCCTCCCTGAAGATCTCTCCACCCTCGTTTGTCCTCTTCAGGCCCTTGAACTTGTGTCGGGACGTCCTGCGCTCTACTCAGCGTTCCACCACTGGGTCCTGATCCCGGCGGGACTCTCGCTGGATCAGAAATTGGATCCCCTTGGGAACTGGGAGACACGGCAAGCAGGAGGAGCCATAAGATGACACCTGGTATTGCAAAGTACTCCATCTCCTCTGGTGAGTGGCCTGCAAAATGACGGATGATGTGCTTGTTTCAGATTGGTCTGAGCGACGTTTGGAATTATTCGGACAATCTGTGCATAAAGATGGTTTATTCCTTATTCCATAGCTTAACAAATTTCAGATTCCAGGCCTATAACGCAAATTATTTCTTTGCGGAGCCTAGTATTATATGAAGTTTTGTTAAATGTTTTCATAGTAATTTATTACAGTTTTAAAAACTTATGGCCTTTATGGTTTTTAGTTGTTTTAGTTTAGTATAGTCGGAGGAATTGGATACATTTTCATATCCGTCCAATTTAAGAATGAACTTTACAGCCACTGACAAACGATTATGTTCTTAAATTCGTAAATATAAATTTAAAAATATTTATACTCTACTCTAAACTTGGAATGGACAGTGTCACACTTATTTTGTTTCAAAATTATAATTTATTGGTGAATAGCAGGTTTTCGTATTTCTATTGTCAAGTGTAGACATACAAAAATAAATTATTGATGCAGAACTGGTATTGTGAGGCTAGAGGTGTCAATTATATTTTTCGCTTGATTGCACGAGAATGGAAATAGCAATTGCATACAAGTAACGTGCACGGCTACATTAAAATTGAATGGCCGATTAAGAGTGGCTATCGGACAAAGCTGATATCCATTATGGGACAAGAGGATTGTCAAACTAAAAGCCAGGTGATGTGTTTCCCTTTATGATCATTACTACATCAATACTGTACGGAATTTGAAGATCCTGCCAGCCCCGTTTGCCCCATCCTCCCTGAAGATCTCTCCACCCTCGTTTGTCCTCTTCAGGCCCTTGAACTTGTGTCGGGACGTCCTGCGCTCTACTCAGCGTTCCACCACTGGGTCCTGATCCCGGCGGGACTCTCGCTGGATCAGAAATTGGATCCCCTTGGGAACTGGGAGACACGGCAAGCAGGAGGAGCCATAAGATGACACCTGGTATTGCAAAGTACTCCATCTCCTCTGGTGAGTGGCCTGCAAAATGACGGATGATGTGCTTGTTTCAGATTGGTCTGAGCGACGTTTGGAATTATTCGGACAATCTGTGCATAAAGATGGTTTATTCCTTATTCCATAGCTTAACAAATTTCAGATTCCAGGCCTATAACGCAAATTATTTCTTTGCGGAGCCTAGTATTATATGAAGTTTTGTTAAATGTTTTCATAGTAATTTATTACAGTTTTAAAAACTTATGGCCTTTATGGTTTTTAGTTGTTTTAGTTTAGTATAGTCGGAGGAATTGGATACATTTTCATATCCGTCCAATTTAAGAATGAACTTTACAGCCACTGACAAACGATTATGTTCTTAAATTCGTAAATATAAATTTAAAAATATTTATACTCTACTCTAAACTTGGAATGGACAGTGTCACACTTATTTTGTTTCAAAATTATAATTTATTGGTGAATAGCAGGTTTTCGTATTTCTATTGTCAAGTGTAGACATACAAAAATAAATTATTGATGCAGAACTGGTATTGTGAGGCTAGAGGTGTCAATTATATTTTTCGCTTGATTGCACGAGAATGGAAATAGCAATTGAATACAAGTAATGTGCATGGCTACATTAAAATTGAATGGCTGATTAAGAGTGGCTATCGGACAAAGCTGCATACAAGTAACGTGCACGGCTACATTAAAATTGAATGGCCGATTAAGAGTGGCTATCGGACAAAGCTGATATCCATTATGGGACAAGAGGATTGTCAAACTAAAAGCCAGGTGATGTGTTTCCCTTTATGATCATTACTACATCAATACTGTACGGAATATCGAACTTAAGTAGAACACACAACGTATAAGTTGATGAAATCAAACAAAACACTCAATAATGACAATAATAATGTTGCGTAACCTAAAACAATGCAGTCATTTAAGCACTGTAACTAGCTTCGGACTACGGGACCGGGGTTCGTTTGACTGCAAGGTCAGGAATGTTTCTTGTAGGCATTTTTAGTTATAGTATCATGTCGAAATAGTCAACATTGCTAAAGGTTGTGAGGAACAGAAAGTTGGAGGGCCAGATTTATGGGGAAAATATTTCTACGTGGTTTGGGTAACAGTAATCCTATCCTTGCCCAGTGTTGGCTAGGCGTTTCTTGATTGTATATTACTCAAAACCTCCGACTCACTTTTGTCGTCAGCTTGACTCTGAAAGAACAATGTACCAGATTCTGCCGCAAATTACAGCTTCGATGCTGATCTGTGCCACCATTCATTTAAGTGTATCTCCCGTTGAAATTTCAACGGAAAATGTTATCGGTTGTTATAATATACTATAATGTTATGTTCTTACATAAATATCGGTTTCTTGCCCGGTTTTAAGTTTCTCAATTAGAGTAGCTGAAATCCTATTACAGACAAACATTAATAAATGTAATTCAATTCTAAAGGGTAGTTTACACTTAAAATCCAGTGACAGAGACTAGCTCTTTCTAAGGGACCCAACAGATTAGGTACCTCTCACCTGAAGACGGAGACATAACCAGCCTCCGTAACGTCGTGAATTTAAAAAAAACAACAGATGATTGAAAATTTCTGACAACAAATAATTTTAAGATTAATGAATGTGTATACAAAACAGAACATAACAAATTTAAACAAAAATAAAGTAAATGATTAAAGGAACCAAACACGCTCCATGCAAAGAAATTGTTTCCAAGGGAGCCAGTGTTTTTACTGAAAGATCAAAAAAATAAAAAGATACCATTTGCAGTGGACATTCACTTGGTTCAAGTACGTAGTCTTAGTGCACTGTGCACACTGAGGGCACAAAAGTGTCTAATTTGTCGACTTTCAAGAGTCTACAGCAGGGTCAAGATTGCACGATTACAATTATAAACCACTTTTTTACACTTAGAATGTTTCTATTTTCCAGTATAAAATATAAATGTAACCTAACGTTCCGAATTACAAATGTCAGCCATCGCAAATTCAATAGAATTTAGTTACAACATTAAGCTTTAAACCAAACACAAAAGAACACAAAGGTGAGAACGCAATAAAAATGCATGCATGGGATCTATACCTGAGTTTGTTAGCGATTGTGGAGGTTTAGCTACGAGAGCAGACATAAGCCGTGGCCTTTTTTCAGCGCTTACACTGGTGACACCCCCCCCCCCACCGGACGAACGTACGCGTATGGTGTGCTATAATTATAGATTACATTTGGTTTGTCCACAATGAAAATTTTGAAATACCGTGGAAACACACGTAAAACGGGACATTTATTTCGTAAAAACAACATGGCTTGGGGCAGGCTGTTTGACTTCACTAGCCCGTGCAGTGTGGAAAGTTTTTGTGATTAGAAATGAAGTATGCGCTGTGATAATAACAATCTATAACAACGTTTCATCTTTCGTTTATGGACTGTAGACAATTTCAGTTCTGAAATATGTCTTGGAAGTACAAATGCACGAAAACAAACCAAATTACAAATTTAACTAGTTAACGTTGTTATAGATGTCAAGTGTCAAGTTAAAGGTCGTGCTGAATATTAAGTATCACGCAGCGTTGTCATTGGTATATCGATAAAGTTCAAAGGTTGTTCAAAATATATGTTTCTGTATGTGGCAGAAATTAATTTAGAGACCGAATGGTGGTGTCGAATAGCTAACACTCCTGATCCTTCGTATTCCGGAGGATCCGGGGTCGAATCTCAGCCCTGGAACCGACTGTTCTGAAGGAAGTGCTTACTGGTCCTTCTCTGTTGCTCCAGATTATTGCAGAAATAGCAGGCTTGCCATAGTTACGTATTTGTTTGAACACTTTGTTTTAAAACACTTACTGTTCCTTAAAAATAATATAACATTTACTTAGTTTTTATAAAATATTTATTGATCTATAGTACCTTGAAAAATAGACATTCTATCAACAGTTTTAAACTAAAGAATGGAGATCATTTCTAGAATTTATTCTTCTCCTAATTTAACCACGAATTGTATTTGATTTGTGGTAATGTATCTAGTCTGTATATAAATGGAAATGTCATTATATTGTACGATAGACAGACAAAATGTGGAAATGTCAAAGCTACAAACTGCAAAACTACGCGATATCAAAATGTTGACTTGTGGGATATCAATATGTAGGTATATACTGCAACTAGACTTTTCTAACAGACACCTGTTGCTGCTTTGATATTAGCTTTGTACTGTTCACACAGAAGGGGAATTAGACTGCATCCAAGTATAATGTGTGCATAACAACATTGTGACGGAATTGGCAGCTTCTGCATCCAATTAAGGATCAATAGTTTAATAATGACTTCATGCTACAAAGAGTGCAAAAACTTGGTTTAGTAAATATGCTATTTCCATTCCACACATTGTAGCCGTCGGCACTGGATGCGACTCGACTGATTGGTGAGATCTGCACGGTCATTGTCTTGTTTAATTCTTGGGTTGGTACGTAATGAGGATGCCTATGAAAGTGGTCGTGGGCTATTGTAAATAGCTGTTACAGAATATGCTTGAAGATGATAGTGAAATTAATGAAAAAATTCAGGCTCTCGGTCTCCGGGCAGAAATTCTGACCTGGGACCTGCCACATATGAAGTTGTATATTAATCACGTGGTCCGCTGCCTTCCAGCCTCTAGGTGGGACACGGGGGAAGCTTGAGCACTAGACCTGTCTTTCGTAAACTTTTTCACGACTGTAAAATGTACTCGTTTTAACTTTGTCGTGCGGATGTCCTAACCGGAGACAATTAACGTGAAGCATATTCCAACTCGAGGTGAGTTAATTCAAGAAGTTACGTAGTAGGATTCTGTCCGAGACCAGCAAATTGCAGATTAGCATCTCATGGAGTCGAATCACATCACATCGGAGTTGGAGGGAGGTGGAGGGGGGGCTGGGAGTTATCTAGAGATTTTAATCAGTTTTAATTAATTTGAAGTGGTGATGCTATTACCATACTTGGGTTGCTAGTCGTTCCAGGTTTGGTCTCAAACACTTGTATTTCCACGGCATTTTAAGAGCTTCTTCCTATTAAATGCCAAACGATAAGCCGATGTAATTACAGTGATTCTACACGTTGTCGGCATGTACGGTGCACGCAAGTGTTGTGGATTGTGCAGAGAAATTTGCAACTGGGATACAAACTCTAATTACGTTTATGTAAATGCATCCGTTAATGTAGTAGATTTTACAGTTGTAGATATATTAAAATATTTCTTCAAGCAATTTATTCTAGAGATAGCACGTAACTGATGTGATCTGTTTTAATTTATAATATATATACAGTGTAAGCAAATTTATTTATGAGTGCACTAAAAGATCTTTAAAATAAAATGGGGCTCACGATAATATGTAATAATTACAAACCTGTCTTTCCCAAATGACGTGCCGCGGAATGTCGGTTTGACCCAAGAATAGCGGAAGTCTGCTACGGATATTTTTATAATTTACTACAAATGTATATTATTTTAAATTTCTGGGTGAATTTCTACTTCAATAAGGAATATTACAAACAGCGCGAAGGATTGTGAAACGTAGACTACATACGCCAAATTCAATGACGCCCTTCTACACTGCTTTCAGAGCCAAATAAGAGAACAAGTAGTTTCATACTTGAAACCTCTTAACGTCAGAATAATAAATGGTAATTTGCGACATTTTTGATGTTCATCGATCTAAATTATTTGAAAATGCTCTGAAGAATCTATTACGCACCGGTTGTATAAAAATTTCGTTTCGCGATGTCAGCTGTGGGAGTTGTCACGTCGGTACATACTACTTTTGCGAGTTTGATGGTGGTTTGCGAAATAATGCCATTGCTTTTTCCACTTTCATTCAAAACAGATAGGCCTGTTAATCTATTTTATAGCTTTATTCATCTATTTCTGTGAGTTTCCATTGGTTTCGATTACATCCGCATGAAACAGACCGCATATGAAAATTGCTGTAACGTGGCTCCAATATTTGAATGCTTCCTGTCGTATGCTACAAAAGTTTAATACTTTTTACAATTC